TTCAGAGGGTTATGGATTCAGATGTAGACTCACCATGGATTCAGAGTGCAGACCTACTGGGATTCAGAGGGTTATGGATTCAGATGTAGACTCACTGTGCATTCAGAGTGCAGACCTACTGTGGATTCGGTTCATACAACTACTGTGGATTCAGAGTCTAGACCTTCAGTGGGTAGGTTCAAGTTTGAATGAGCCCGGGAGCAGTCAGTGTGGGATATGCTCAGGGTGGTGCTGGGGAAGCTGAGAGCTCACCCCAGCTTCTGCGGGCTCAGGGCCGATGGTGAGCATTAGATCTCACCATGCTTAGCAGCTGTTCTTTCTCCTTGGGGGAGTGCAGGTGAGCCGTTGTGGGGTCCTCCAGGTGTGCCTGGTGCCGTCCCCTTCCTCAGCAGCACGGCCCTGTACAGGCCCGAGTGTCAGGCTTTGTTGCTTGCCTGTTTTGTAGGGTTCACAGTCCACCCCGGTGACAGGTGGGTGCTGGAGACCGGCCGCCTGTATGAAATCACCATCGAAGTGCTTGACAAGTCCGGCAACAAGGTCTACCTGTCAGACGTGAGTGCCTGCCTTGGGTCCCGGTGGGGTGTCAGTGTGGGATGTGCCTCCTGGAGCGGCCCCCCAAAGCTGCAGGGCCCCCATGCAGGCAAGCTGAGTTATTGATTCCTAGTGGTGTTTCTGGGTCCATGAGAGACAGCACTGTGACATCTCTGGGGCCTCTCAGGACTTTGTGAACCTGTGAGTCTGTGCCCCCCAGCCCTACCCCTGCAGGGCCGGAGTGGGGAGAGGGGGCCGCAGGCAGCTCAGTTCCAGAAGGCGGTGATGGGGGAGCAGTGTCTGCCTGCTGCCTTCCTGCTCGTTTGTCATAGCCTGAGACTTCATGGTGCTGAGAATCCGTCTCTTCCTGCTCTACAGAGGAGCAGGGAGCACTCCCTGACCTTTCCCTGCGGGGCCAGGAATACCTATAACTGTCCGGAAGGCCCAGGTGACCTAGGCTAACCTCAGTTAGCTTTCTGGCTCTAGAAAGGAATGGCAGACACAGGCAGAGGGAGAGGAGTCCAGCAGGTTTTGGTCCTTCGTGAGAGGTTCCCAGGATCATCAGTTGGAATGCCTGGGACATTCCTAGTGGCTTCTGAGGTTTTAGAAGAAGAAGGCAGCGTTCCCCTGGGGCAGCTTTGCAGGTCATTGCTTTCCTCGTGTTATTGAATAAAGACTGTCGATCACCATTTTTTTGGGAAGAAAACTCTGATGGATACTGATGACATTCTTTTGTGTTTGGTGGTTTCCTCGTTGGGACCTCAGGGTCTGAGAAAGCCAACGATAGTAGGCCTCAGGCTCCCCTGAGGAGCACTGGGTCATCGGGCCATGCGGGAGTGTGGTGGCCTGGGAGGGGGTCAAAGGCTGGAGGGCTCAGAGCCCAGTTCTAGGGCCTCGTCCAGCTCGTCTGCTGGTTTTGGAGGCCTCTGGGCCTTGGGCCGCCCCATGGCCCGGCCTGGCTGCTCTTTGTGGGTCACGTTGCTCCTTTCCTGCATTCTGACTTCCTGACTCATCCCAGAAACACCTCTCTCACCCATCCTGCCTCCCTTCCAGAATATTCGCATCGAAACCGTGCTGCCTTCTGAGTTCTTTGAGGTGCTCGCTTCTTCCCAGAATGGGTCGTACCATCACGTCAGGGCAACAAAGCGGGGCCAGACGGCCATCGAGGCAGCCCTCACCTCTGTGGTAGACCAGGCAAGTCAGCACCTCCCTCTCTCTGCCCCCCTGCACCCTCCCAGGCTGGACGTGAGCCCTGGGAAGCCGAGGACCCCAACTTCAGCCTGGTGCACTGCTCTCGTGGGTACTCTGGGGGTTGCCTCCCATCTGGGCTCATGGGAGATGTCTGGTGGTGGGGCTTTGGGCTTTTCCTGTCCCTGTGTCCACACAGGGTGCCCCTCCTACTTTGCCCTTTGCCAGCCTCTGTAAAGGTGAGCCTGCCCTTCTGGGATTGGGGCGGAAACCCTGTTGGGGAAGCGGTGTTGGGCCCGTGTGTCTAGCTGTGCTGTTTCCCGGGGCCATGAGCATCCCTCTGGCTATTTTAGCTCTTGCGTCCTTTAAAGTCTTTTCATTTTCCCCCTTTATTAGAAGACCAGTCAGTTATGGGTGTGAGCAGTTTTTTTACTGATTGGAACATCGGCATGGGTGTTCTCATCTTCCTACACTGCACAAAACCTGTCCCGGCCCCTTAGGAGGCAGCAGAAAGAATGGCCTGTGGGGTAGACAGCAATTCCTGCCTGCCTGTCACTTCAGCTCTGGGGGCTTTGGGCAAAGTTGCTGCTGTGCCCCATGCCTCAGTTTCCCCATCTGTAAAGTGGAGTAACCACATCATCTCATCTGGGGTGCTGTGAGGATGAAGTCAAGCAGCATTTATTTGAGTGGCTGTTACAGAGCCATAGAAAGCTGTCTCCATGGAGACAGAGAAGGCTGCAGGGCATTTAGCATCTTCCTTCCTGCTCCCCGGCAATCACAGAATCTTTGTGACCTGATCTCCGGGGAGGGGCGGGGGTCTGCTTGACTGGGAAAACCTCTGATGACCTGGTTGTCATGGTGACGTGCGGTGCCCTCACCCCCTTGTAGGATGGAGGGGTCCACACATTACGGGTGCCCGTGTGGAACCAGCAGGAGGTAGAAATTCACATCCCAATCACCCTCTATCCGAGCATCTTGACGTTTCCGTGGCAACCAAAGACGGGCGCCTATCAGTACACAATAAAGGTAACCGTGACACCCCACGTCTGGGTGCATTCCTTTGGGTGTTTCCATGGGATTGGGGCTCTTCCCCTATCTTGTTTCTTTTAATCTTACCTTCTAGTGGTTGGAGAGAATTTAAAATCGGGGAGTTTTATGCTTTTTATATTTTCTGGGGTTTCTATCACAGCACTGTATTTTGGTAATCAGAAAAAAAACCCCTGAAAAACAGAAAAGAAAGCATGGTAAAGAAAACCTGGAATACAGATTTAAATTCCACCTGCATTTGTTTTGATAAAAAAATGATTGTTTTCTACAAGTAGCGTAACTATCCCTGGAGAAAAATGTGAAATTCAAGGGAAAAATATCTCTAACTCTGTCACCTATCAAGTGTTCTCGCTTTCTGATATTCACGTGCCCGTCTGGCCTTCGTTGGCAGGGACTGACTTCTGTGGGGGCTTGAGCCCCTGTGGCCAGTAGAGTCCCCATCAGTCCCCACTGCCTCCCTGGCAGAGTGATGCCTGTCACTGGGACCCGCTGCCTGTGTGTCCCCTTCCTGGCCTCTCTTAGGTTCCGGGGTGATGGCCCCTGACCTGGGAAGCCGCTGGACTGTCTCTACTCCATGGAGGACCACCAGGAGCGGCTGGGGTGTGTGCCGGGAGGGAGCGTTGCGCCTGGGCAGGGAAGCAGCTTCCTGCACCTGACTCTGTGGCCCAGGGTCCTCCCAGTCCAGTCTGTAGGTGCTCCCAGGTCTGGGGCCACTGTTAGGGGCATCAGTGGGTGTCAGCCACAAGGCCCCCAGAATATGAGAAAGAGAAAGGAGGCAGGGTGGAGAGACCAAGGTGGGGAGGTGGTCTCCAGCCAGATGTCAGCCCATGGAGTGGGAGGCCGCTGACCATGCGAGTCAGAGAGTGAGACAGAAGGATGGACAGAGAGACCAGGCAGATGGACTGATCTGATGGTTTTCTTCTCCAGGCGCATGGTGGGAGTGGGAACTTCAGCTGGTCTTCGTCAAGCTACGTGGTTGCCACGGTCACCGTCAAGGGTGTGATGACCACAGGCAGTGATACTGGTCTCAGTGTGATCCATGCACATGACGTGCAGAACCCGCTACATTTCGGGGAGATGAAGGTGAGACCTCAGGGGCTTGGAGGCTCAGGCTGGCGGTTTCTAGCTGCCTTCTCACATCCAGCCCTCAGGCTTGTACTTGGTGTTGGTGGTGGGCAGTGGGATGGACGTGACATCCCCCACCAGGCAGGGGATGGGACCCAGAAGGGCCAGGGTCAGCATAGTAGGAATTTTTTGGAAGGGAGATCAGAGAACACAGAAGACATGAGATACTCAAAGGAGTCATTCTAGAAAACTCAGACCTGAAAGGTCTGAATCTCTGAATTAGAAGGGCCATTGAGTGTTGGTAAATTCACAGCGAAAGGGAGGCCCCAAACTCCACGAGACCTGGGTCTGACTCCTTTCCTTTCCCTCTACTGGGGCCCGACACCTGGCTCTTGACTCCAGGTGACACGGGACCAACTCACTGAGCAAAGGCCTCGGGTGGGAGTGGTCATCTGCAGCTGAGCCTCTGCCCACCCTGCCTCGGCCTCCTGACTTCTTGACCCTGACCTCAGCCTGCCATTATTCCTTCATTTAGGGCAGAAGTCAAAGCTCCATACGCGGTGTGTCCAATCCCAACCTGCTCTTATGTTTTTTGGGACATGGATGGACAGGTTATTCTAGTCTTTTTATTTGGATCCACTTAGAGACACACACACACACGCGCGCGCACACACACACACACCCATCTAAAGACAGGTTATTCTAGTCTTTTTATTTGGATCCACTTAGACACACACACACACACCCGTCTAAAGATTGATCTCATTCTCATATAAAAAGAGTCATAACTGAGACCCTTTAGCTACAGCATAATTGCCAAATATGTGGATAAACTATGACCACCTTGCCCCCCTCCAAGCTTCTTTATCTCAGTAAATGTGCAACCTTTCACCCAATTGCTCAGTCAGAAGTCTGAGAGCAGTTTCTTGAGATACAGTGTGTGTAATGGTTACAGTCTGGTTTCTGGGGCCAGGCTGCCCAGTCCAGTCTCCACTGTGCTTGGGCAAGTCCCTTACACTCCTGTGCCAGGTTCTTCATCAGGTGGAGGTTATTAATAGAATCTTCTTAACAAACAGGCTCAGGGGATTAAATTTAGCAATGTTTTTACAACAGAACCCGGAGGGTGGAAAGTATTGTTTTATAGAAGTATTAGCTGTGAGTGATGACACTCTTACCCTGTACTGGGGCCCTCTTTATATTCCTCCAGCAAGCTGAGCTGGTACATGGCTCAGGACCTTTGCACACACTGTGTCTTCTTCCTACATTTTTCTCCCACGTTTCTGTCTGGCCACCTCTGACATGCCTCTCAGGTCTGAGTTCCTGTGTTACCGTATCAAAGGGGCCTTCCCGAACAGCTCTGTCCCTGAACTCACTCCAGTCCCCAGCACACATGTCCCCCAAGCTCAGTTTTCTCACTGACTTGTCCTCAGTACCCAGTGCACGGCAGCTCTTAGTAAATACTGGCGCAGGCCCTTCCTCTCCCGTGGAGCCTGATGACCCCCATCCTCACCCCTGTCCTCCAGGTGTATGTGATCGAGCCCAGCAGCATGGAGTTCGCCCCGTGCCAGGTGGAGGCACGTGTGGGCCAGACCTTGGAGCTGCCCCTGAGGATCAATGGCCTCATTCCTGGTGGGGCCAACGAGGTGGTCACCCTGAGCGACTGCTCCCATTTTGACTTGGTGATCGAGGTAGAGAACCAAGGCGTGTTCCAGCCGCTCCCAGGTAAACCAGGACTGATGAGTGGGCACCAGACAAGGGGATCAGGCCAGACCGCATAAGTTCTCAACATGGGCTGCCCCAGATTCCTAAATGGAGGGCTTGAGGCAATAGGGGAATCAGGAGCATCAGGAATGGCATCTATCCCCTTGTCCACCCTCAACAATGGTCCGGTCTGGCTCTTGACCACCGTGTGACCTGCCTTGTCACTGGGCTTTCAGAACCACCCATCTCTAAAATGGGTGTCATCCTAAATAGAATTGCATGTCCTCATGCCCATTACACTGTCTAGAAGGTAGTAGGTGCTCACAATACACTGTCCATAGGGCTTTTAGCTGGTGACAGAATCCTGACACTTTGGTGTTCCGACACCCTGAGCAGTCCAAGCCGTGCGCATTGCTCTTTCCTCTTGGGCATGCCCTGCAGGGTCTTAATGGTGATATCGGTGGTGACGGTGGCTGTGGCAGTTAGTTTAAGGGATGTCAACCCTGCCAGGTGTGGAGTGAGCACTCAGTGTGTGTGACTCATCAGACTTCTGGCGGCGGGGGGGGGGGCAGGGAGCTGTGGTTGGGCCACATGTCATATGAAGAGACTGGGGCTGCCTGCTGCCCAAGGTCACGCAAGGGCACAGGTGGGATGGGATAGAGACCTGGGTGGATCTGGCACTGACCATGAAGCCTTTTGTCCCCTGAGAAACTGTGCCTCCCAGGGGAGCCAGCCAGGGGCAGCCGGGAGGTTCCTTTGCGGACAGAGAGAACCAAGGACTAATGATCCATTGAGGGAGGAAGAAGGTTTGGGCAGGGGTTAGAAGTGACAGGTGGGCAGGGTCTCTGTGGTCAGGGCCCAGAGGTGGGCACGTCCATGGGGCACGGGCACATACAGTGGCCCTGGGATTGGAACGTGTCGAATCATGAATCACGAAGGGCTTGGATTCAGGGTCCAGGCAGTGGGGAGCAACTGTCGGCTGTTGAGCAGAGCACTCGATCCTGACGGGTTTAAGCAGCTCAATTGGCAGAGGTGTTTGTCAGGATCACCTGTGTGCCAGGCAGCTTCGCGTGTCCCCGCTGTACTTGTGGTTACTCGTGGAGCTGTGTGAACCTGAAGCTACGCAGAGGAAGGGGACGGCGTCTCTGAAAGGTCACCAAGCAAACCGTGTTTGCGTCCTTCCTTGGCAAGTGCTGCTGTGCCTCTCTGACCACCCAGGAGGAACAGCTTTATGAAAATTTAAGTGTCCTCATTGAAGGATGGAGGAAAACATCAGCGTGAGGGAGAGGAGCCTGCTGATGGCTGGGAATGAAGGACAGGGTTGGGAGCTCCACAGCTACGGGTCTGAGCACCGCTTCTTCCGTATATTGGCTGTGTGATGGTGGACAAGTTGCCCAGCCTCTCTGAGCCTCGACTCTTCCATGTATAAAACGGGGATACTAACTCCTCACTTGGCTGTGAGGGTTACAAATGAACATCCCTGAGCCCAGTGCAGAAGCATTGTTCAAGGAGTTTGGTTCTGAAGATGGCAGCCGAGACCAAAATCCTGTGGCATCAAAATTTCCCTTACAAAGCCCCTTAAATGTCCCTCAGTGTAGAGTTGATGTGGCTTGTTGAAGCCTGTGTGTAGGGTCTCGGTTGTATGAGAACTATGTATCTTAAAATCCGGAGCTTCGTCTGGGCAGAGCGATGCTGGTGTCATGGAAATCTGTGGGACTAGAGACCAGGTGGGGCCAGCAGATTGGGTGACATCTGTCTGGGGCATAGGAGACTCATGGAACAGACACTTGGGGCCAGAGGGGGTCCCCACGTTAGGTTTCCTTCTCTGTCTCAGTCTCTTTCCCAGGTAAGATTGCCCAAGGGTGAAAAGACACAAGATGGGGCTCAGGTCCCAATTCTTAGGAAGGGGCGGCCCCAGGCCCCTAACACCCTCTGGGTCAGTTTGGAGCTCCACCCTGTTCCTATTGGAGTTGGCTGCTAGGGTCCCATTTCTTCCTTGTCCTCATCATTGAAGCCCCCCTGAAAGTCCTGGGGCTGGGAACCTCTGCTGGAGTCACTGGGAACCTCTGCTGGAGCCTCTGCTGGAGCCCCAGGGCTTCGGGCTTGGCTAGGCTCAGTGCCCAGGGTGACGACACACCAGCTCTTGCTCTGCCCTGGCCCCTTCTCTGCTCCCAGCCTTGGCTGGTTCTCAGCAACCTGTTCACTGAGCACCTAGTAAGTGCTGTGCTCTGGGGGTTCCTGGTAAACACGAGAGGCATGGTGTCGCCTTCATGGCCCACACAGCCGAGCAAGACCCATGCTTCCACAGGCAGTTATGGTGCCTGGGACGGAGTGCACCTGCGGGTGAGCACAGGTCCCGGCAGCTCCGTCCCACTCCTGGGCGTGTGCCCGGCAGAAATGCCCGAACATATTCCCCAGCAGAAATGTGCAGAAGATGGATTTCTAAGCCAGTTTGGGGGTGCCTGGGAAGGCTGCTTAGAGGAAATGAGAGCTGCACCCGAAGGATGAGAGTGGACAAATTGGGAGTGTCCTGAGGAACGGGAAGAGTATGTCAGGAGCCAGAGACCACAGAGGGGGTGGCATGCTCCAAGTTTGGCCCCAGGTCCGTGCAGGTGGATCTCTCATTGCCAGGGCAGAGGCCGCAGGATGGGGAGAGCCTGGTACTCAGGGAGCACCGAGTCTTCCCACTAGGCAGGCTGGGGTGGGAGGCGGAGGCATCATGCTCAGGAAGCTCCTCTGCCGTGCGTCAGAACCCCCGTTCTCCAGCGCCCTTTTCCCAGCTATGCAGAGGACCTGGCGTCCTGGCTTATAATTTGGGGTCGTGTCCAGAAAAGGATTTGCCCAGACTCACTGCCGGCAGGGTCCACACTCAGACCTAGCATTTCCCTGTCTACTGTGTGTACTTGTGAACGCAAATCGGCCCCTTTGGCAGAGTTGCAGTTTTCCGGAGCTCCTGGGCTCTGCTCACGGACTCCATAGCACACCCTTTCTGGCGACGTAGGGATTTCTGCTCGGGGCATCGCAGGCTCTGCTCTTTGGTTGCCCCAGCCTGGAAACAACCCCAGTGCTCATCAGCTGGTGAATGGATGAGCACCCTTGTAATGGAAGACTCAGCAATAAAGAAGAACCAACTATTGATCATGCCAGAGCATAGATGGATTTCAAAAACATGCGTGTGAAACCAGCCAGATACAAAGAGCCCCCTTCATTGATGTGCAGTGTGAGGCAGACTGATCTACACGGAGAGCGACTGGTCATGGATGCAGGGTTTCTTTTTTAGGAGATGAGATATTCTAAAATTAGTGGTGATAGCTACACAACTCTGTGAGTATGTTAAAAACCACTGAATTACGAGTGCCCTCTAAATGGGTGATTCTGTGGTATGTGAGTTATAGTTCAATGAAACTATTATTTAAAAAGCAAAACTAAACTATGGTGGAAAAAAGTCGGAATGCCATAGTGATGGCTTCTGGAGAAGGGGGGGAGCCCCCGGGAAGGAGCGGGAGGGAACTGTGGGGGCAGGTCGTGTCCCGCATCTTCGTAGAGGTTCGGGTTTCACGGGTGGATGTGTTTGTCTGAGCTCATGGCATGGCCCACTTAAGATCGGTGTCTCACTATGTGTAAATCTGACCTTAAGAAAAAAAAAGAACCAGGAAGAAATACTGAACTAGAGATAATTATGCATATCTAAAGCAATTCGAATGAAGTGTGCTGAAGCTGCAACTTACTTTTAAATGCATTAAAAACTAAGATCAGGTGATGGATGGGTAGGGGGATGGATTGATATGTAAAATACAGCAAAATGTTCATTGTAGAATCTAGGGGATGGGTGTGTGGCATTTCACGGTAGAATTTTTTTCTAAGTGTTTGGAAAGAAAACAGTAAGATACCACTACCCTCCCACTAGAATGGCTTTTTTAAAACTCGTGGAAAATACCAAGTATTGGTGGGGATGCTGTGTAGCTTCTAGTAGCAGTATGACTTGATGCATCCATTTTGGGGAAGATACTTGGCAATAATGATGAAAAGTGAACATACCCATTGCCCTGGCAGTAAGGACTGGAGGCAAACATACCGCACTCTTAGGGATACACACAACAGAAATGCCGGAATATATCCATCCCGGAAGACACGCACGCATGCACGTTCATAGCAGCACCCTGCGTCAGAGCCCCACGCTGCAGACAACCCAGTGTTTGCAGTAGCGTGGGGACATCAGCAGCTGTCTAGTCACACAATGCAATCATACTACAAATGTGGATAAAAGATCTACACTGTGCAAAATATAAGGAGGGCTCTCACCACAGGCAGTTATGGTGCCTGGGACGATAGTGAGCTTAAGAGGGCAGACACAAAGGAGTTTATGCTTAGTGATTCACTACGTATAAAATATGGCAGCCAGCAAAATTAAGCTGGTGGTGAGAAGTCAGGTAACAGTGGTTTTCCTTGGGGAGGGCTAGTGACCAGAAAGATCTATGGGAGATTCAGGGATACAGGTCATTGTGTTTTTTGATCCTAGATACAGGGTGTGTTCAGTTTGTGGAAGGAAAAAAAAAATCACTATGAATTATATGCATATGCTACGTGTATTTTTAATATGGGACTTATACTTCAAATTTTTAAGTTGAAAAAATTAGATTGTGTATCAAGCCCAGGATGAAGGAGGGGCTGTCAACCTGTCATGTTTTTCTGAGCAAAGGCAAGTTCACAGGGACCATTTGGCTCTCTTCTTACAGGGAGGCTGCAGCCAGGATCTGAGCACTGCAGTGGGGTCAAGGTGAGAGCAGAGGTCCAGGGCTACACCACACTCCTCGTGAGCTACAGACATGGCCGCATCCACCTGAGTGCCCGGATCACCATCGCTGCCTACCTGCCCCTCAAGGTGAGCCCGGGGTCCCTGCCCTCCACCTCCTCCCCTGATGCGAGTAATTCATTTGCTCTGGCAAATTTGTATTAAAACCCTGACTGGTCAGAATAGCTTTTGGAATAGTTACTGCTCCCTCTTGTCTGGATTCAGGAAGGAGGTTGAAGGAGCAGAGCCTTCCTGATGGCAGACGGTGATTGCTAACTGTGTGTGGATGACATGCTCTCTGCAGAGATCTAGACAGGAGGGCTTCTGGTCCACTCCAGAGCTGTCCTGCCAGGTCTCCATGGAACCCTAGGATGGCATGTGCAGATTCTGGGGTCTGGGAGACACGAGTCAGGTCTGGATTTTGCTGTCTGCCTGCCATCAGGCAACCAGCTGGTATGTGAGTCCCCCTTCGTCCATCTGTGGCCAGAGGCAGCTAAAGCCTCCACAGCTCAGAGCTCACTGCCTTGGCTTTGACACTGACTCCCCAGTTTGAATCCAGGTCCGACACCAACTCTGTGGCATTGGTTAACTTAATTTTCTGGGCCTCCCATTTCCCTGCCTGTAAAATGAGGCTAATACAACACCAAACTGTAGGGTTGTGGTGAGGAGAAACTGAGCTAATGAATGAAATGGACTTAGAACAGTGCCTGGAAGGTAGTGAGTGCTCAGTAGGGTTAGTTACTAAAATGCAGATAAAGGAGAACCAGACCTTCCTCCCAAGGTGGTTGGGAAGGGTTCACACAGCAGCTGCCCCGTCACAGGATGGCAGACCTAATGAGAACCCTGCCTCTAATAGGCTCAGGGAGGGTGAGTTGGCTCCTCCTGAAGGGGAAGGCGAAAGCATTGTCCTGGGGGGGCGTCCCGCCAGCTTCCAGACTGGACCAATCAGGGCCGCCTTTCTCTGACGCCCAGCATCAGTCTCTAGGACAGCTCTGGTCCCCTTGGTTTGTGGTAACAGGTTTTCTTCCCCCCTCACCCATTAGAAGTGGGGTCAATGAGGTTAGAGCCTTTCATCTCTGAACCCCTAGCCCCGAGCATAGTGCCTGATACAGAACAGACAACCACCAAGGGTTGGTTTTATGTTTTTTTAATTGAGGTATAATTGATATGTAACATTATATTAGTTTCAGGTGTACAATGTAATGATTCATATTTGTATACATTGTGAAATTGTCACCACAGTAAGTCTAGTTAACATCCATCACCATTCGTAGTGCCAGATCTTTTCCTTGAGATGAGAACTTTTGAGATCTACTCTCTTAGCGACTTGCAAATATGCAACACGCTATTATTAACTCTAGTCACCGTGCTGTACACAACATCTCCATGAGTTATGTATTTTATAACTGGAAGTTTGTACCTTTTGACTCCCTTCACCCATTTGCTGCCCCATGCCCCTCTCCAGCAACCACCAATCTGTTCTCTGTATCTGTGAGCTCTTTTTCTCTTTTAGATTACAGTGAGATCATACAGTATTTGTCTTTCTCTGTCTGACTTATCTCACTTAGCACACTGCCCTCAAGGTCCATCCGTGGTGTTGCAAATGGTAGGATATCCTTCTTTTTTATGGTTGAATAATATTCCTGTGTATGTGTGTGTATCACATCTTCATCCATTCATCTGTTACTGAACACTTAAGTTATTTCCATATCTTGGCTATTGTAAATAATGCTACAATGAACAGGGGAGTGCAAATATCTTTTTGAGTTAGTGTTTTCATTTCCTTTGGTTAAATAGCTGGAAGTGCATATTTTTTGAGAAGGGTTGTTTTATTTAGAATCAATGAGTGGGCAAATGTGTCCAGGCTTACCAGCCAGGACGGAAACCAACATCTCCTGACCTCTCCCCTCCCCCACCACCAAAATCTATATGTACACCTTTTCTGCACCAGTCCCTGCTCTAAACCTTAGGGATACATCAGTGCAGAAAACACAGAGAAATCCTTGTCCTCATGAATGGACATGCTGGTAGAAACAGAGGTAGAGACAGACAGTAATAGACCAGTGCTTACCATGGAAAAAGTAAAGTAGAAGAGAGTGATAGGGAGGGTAAAGAAGGGAGGATGGCAGTTTAAAATTAGGAAGTCAGGATCCCCTTCCTGATCAGGAAGGAGTGATAGGGCTCAGAGAACAGGGTTCGAGAGGATTGGCAGCATTCTTGAGGAACCCCTGCCGCAGCCTAAGGTGGAGTTTTCCTAGGACTCTGGGAAGGAAGTTCTTCACGGCTCTTCCTTGGTGCTTGCTCCAAATGACCAGACACCCTATTTATGTGGGGTGTGTGGCTGAAATATCAAAGGCCACTGACTGAGCTCACTGTCCCAAGGTGGGATTAAGGGTGAAGATAATATAGACATGTCCCCAATCAAGGCTTCCTGACTGGACACATTATAGAAGGATATAGGTGTTTTCTTTTATCTTTTTTCTGTCTTGATAACAGTTAAGATCAGGTTTATTTACACATAACAAAATCTAAAACAATAGCTTAGCCAATAGAGGGTTTATTTCTCTTTCACATGAGAGCCTTCACATGGGGCTAGTGTGGCAGCTCATAGTCATCAGAGACCCAGGTTTCTATCTTTCACCATTCTGGTATGTGGCTTTCATCCTCAAGTTTGCCTTATAATCTAAAATAGCTGCTGGAGCTCCAGCCATCACATCTGCATTCCAATGTAGCTAGAAGGGGAAAGAGCTCTCCTCCAAGCTGAGTTAGTTTCTTCTAGTAACCTTGTCAGAAGTTTAAAGGAACAGTTTCTACTTGCATCTCATTGGCCAGAACTTAATCCATTGGGCACATCTATCTTCAAAAGAGGCTGGGAAATATTTTAGCTGGACACTTACCCACCCTAACAAAATGTGGTCCTTCCTCTAAGGAAGAGAGGAGTGTGGAAACTGGGAAAGCAACTCGCAATGACTGTTTGCTTGTCCATTCACCAGTTTACTCTGCAGATCATCCCTGGGTAGGTACAGTTGGTACACAGCCCAGGCTGGAGAGAGAGAGATGTAGGGAGAAATCCCACACTGCCCTAGGTGGCCGCCAGTCTGTGGGGAAGGCAGGTGCTCAGACAACTGCAGTGAGCATGGTAGAAGGAATGAAGAGCCTCAAGGGGGACAGGTCACTGGTGAACACAGAAGTAGAAGGAGGGCCTGCTTGTAGGAAGCTTGGCTGGTGAGGACACTAGAAATAGTATACCTCGGGTCACAAAGGAGGCTGTGAAGGCCCTCTGGGTCAGATCAAGGAGGTGTTTGAAAGCTGGGTTAGGAGTGGGATATTTATTCTCTTCTTACCTAGCAGTGGACAGTTGGTGAAGGTCAGGGAAGGACAAAATCGGGTCCACACGTAAGACGGGTACTGCTCAGCCCTGCCCCCCAACGTACATGTAACCTCCTCTGTTTGGACCTTGGAGGGGCTTGTGTTCGCCGGCTACCTAATTCCCTCTGCAGTCAGCACCCCAGTTACTCTTCGGCTTCTGTCTACTGCAGGGATTTGGCATCCCTCGACCCACCTGCAGGTTACTCTCTGGGAGTCCCTAGTGCCTGGATCTGGGGACCTCACCTGGCTCTCCATTCCCGCAGTGTCAGTGTGACTGAACGTGATGACCCCTGAGCCTCTGGGACAGCCAGGTGCAGTGGGGCCCTAACTTCTGCCCACCCCACCCCGCTCCTTCTGTCTCTTGATCCTAGACCAAGTGTGAGTATCCCTGCGAGGGGGCGCATGGATGCCGTCTGCTGCAAGTGTAGGCTGTCCTCCCTAAGGGCCTCCTGATGTCTAGGTTCAACCTCTTGTTCTGCAAACCAGGATACGAAGCCCTAGAGTAGTAGAAGTCTTGTCTGAGGTGCAGGGCCCCTCTCCTCTCTGGCCTGGCCAGTGGCTGTACTTTCACAGCCACCAAGGAGCCTGTATGATTTATGAGTGTCTGTGTTGATTATTAACCTTTCTTCCTGGCACAGGATTCTGTGACACTTTTATACCTGAATGGGAAGAGAATTACACGTGAAGGTGATAATTCACTGTTCTCCAGCTGGTAATTATAGGCCACACGGTGCCTTTGCACAGTCTTTCCCTTAGGGCAAAATCCTTTGGCCACGTTTACAGTGACCTGCTTTGCCCACAGCGAAGTTTTGCTGGTTGTAGCATTGAGACTTGGGGAAGAACAGGGCATCGGAGTCGGAACAGACTGGGTGAACTTGGACGTATTGTTTTACTTTGCTGGGATTCATGTTTTCCGTCTATTAAATGAGGATGACAGTTAACGATAATGATGCTAGGGCCATTTATTGAGCATGCGCTAGACATGTATTCCGGGCTTTCGTTCACTTCCCTTGAATCTCTATGGTAATCCCATGAGGCTTGGGTTCTTGTACCCATTTTACTGGTTGGGGAGACTGAGCCTTATAGAAGTTAACCTGTTTAAGGTCACATAGCAGACCAGTAACAACTTCATTCTAGTTGTGGAGACAGAGAAACAAATGACTGTATGGAAAATGGTGGCACGTAGTGAGAAGGATGGTTGAGCTGGGAAAGGAGGTAGCAAATGACAAGAGGTTCTATCTTAAGGGGTCAGAGAAGGCCTCTCCAAGGAGGTGATGTTTGAGCAGAGGCCTGAGTGGCGCAGGCCGTGAGGCTGTCTTGAGGAGGAAGAGCGAAGGCCGTGATGATACTTGGCCATTCACGTGCAGAAAAAGGGCTCTTTTGATGGTTTCAAGACCTGGGCACACAGCAAGGTAGAGTTTGTGGGTGGGGGCGCCCTGGGTTTTTGAAATTTCATATATGTGTGCACACATATATGGGGTGTGCCTAGAGATCTGTTATCCAATAGCAAATTCAGGAAAGTGTCCATATTGCAAAAAAAAAAAAAAAAATTTCAAAGGACAGAATTCTCATTGACGAGTGATGCCCTTTCTTTGCTAAGAACCCAACCCAGAGAACCTGTGCCAATAGGCCTCAACAGGTCATGTCATGTTGCCTGCCTGCCCCCATCCGGGCGGGTGTGTGCATCTTAAAGCTGTCACTCAGGTGACTCCCCCTCCATACTGAGGTGGCTGCCGGCCGGGGAACTGCTCCGGGTCCAGGACTGCAGGTAACAGCCGAGTGGTCATCAGTCTGTACCTGTGAGGACTTCAGGCTCTTAGCAGTTGGGGGATGAGGATCCAGCTACCATGGGGGTGAGGGCATGGAAGGAGCTGGGTGGAGGGTCAGGGGCCCTGGTGAGTGGACTGGAGTCTACACTGACCCTCCTGTCCTTATGACATCCCAGCAACACATTCTGGTCTCTACCAGACCAGAGGGGTCTGAGACTGGATGTTCTGCCCAGAGCAGCACGAACACTTAGGGCTTTAAGGATTTCAGGAGAGTAGAGCTTGGGGAAGCCGGACCTGGACGTAACTCTGTATGTTCTAGGCAATAAACCAAGGACGTACTCAATGTGTGTTAGCAGTAGCCTCCACACTCCCAGCATACTGGCTATTCTGAACTAGAAGTGGCCCCCGCCCATGTGGACTCCAGTCTAATGCAGACATGGCACCTGTGTGTATCTGTGCCCACAGCAGACATTGCTAATCGATCCTGGCATCCCTTTTGCCTGAGGCTGATTCCACCTTAGGAACCAACCCCACACACCCCGACCCCCATCCGGTCAGCTGTTGCAAGGCCATCAGGGTGACAGGTATTTGTAGCTCTCGTTCTGAAAGATGTTGGGAATCGTGAGAGGTTAAGGGATCATTGAGGCCAAGAGTAGGGGACTGGTGCGGGCTCGGTCATTACAGCATTGCTGTGATCAATCCATCAGATTGGTCTGTTTCCATTTCTTCTCAGTTTTAGGGCTTGCTTTTTGGTGTGTTTTTTTTTTTTTAATTTTGTTCTAATGTATATGTAAGTTGTTCATTTGGTTCCAAAGTTAAACCCATATTAGAAGGATCCTCAGAAGTCTTGCTTCCATCCCCTTATAGGGGAGTCAGAAGTTACACGTGGACTTTCGACGCCTGGTGGGTCAGCACCTCGAACCCCTGCATTGTTCAAGGGTCAACTGTACATATAAATATCGAACTGTTACGCTATACTCCTGAAACTAATATAACGTTCTATGCCAATTACATCTCAATAAAAAAGTGAATAAATTCTTTGAAAAGGGTGCACGTTTCTCTACAGACTCACCAGCAGAGTGTGTGCTCAAACTTTTAGATTTTTGCTAATCACATGGTTAAGAAATAGTATCACCGAGTTGTGATAATTTCCTCCATCTTTTTTTTTTAATATTTTTATTTTCTCTATATGGTTTTTCATTTTTCATACAGTTTGCTCACACTGTGGATACAGAAGGAAACTGACACGCCTTACCTTTCATGAGCCCATAGGCTGATGAGGGAGGCAGACACCCAGACCAATCATTTCCTCTGTGACACGGGGCGAGGGAGCTATCAGCCCTGGCAGGCTGGACGTCACTGGGTGAGGGAGGAAACGGGGGCTTCTTGAGGGAAGGAGTGGGTAGGGGACCAAGGCAGCAAGCAGCTTCTGTGAGGCCCTAGGGACAGGCTAGTCTGAAGGTGGGACTAGGAGAGCTAAGGCAAGGGCTCCTGGGTGGCTCATTCGTTAAGCGTCTGCCTTCGGCTCAGGTCATGATCCCAGGGTCCTGGGATAGAGCCCCGCATCGAGCTCCCTGCTCCGCGGGAAGCCTGCTTCTCCCTCTCCCACTCCCCCTGCTTGTGTTCCCTCTCTCGCTGTGTGTCTCTCTGTCAAATAAATAAATAAAATCTTTAAAAAAAAAAAAAAAAAAAGCTGAGGCAAGGGCCAGGCTGGGAGAGCCCAAATCCCGGACTCACGGAGACTTTCTTCTGAGGGCAGCTGGGGCTACAGATTGGTCTTGTGCAGGAGTGACATGGTCAGATCTGTGCTTTCGGAAGGAACCTCTGGCAGCTCTTACAGGGTAGAGTTGGGGCGTCAAACAGGGAGGCTAGCTGACAAGTAAGGACTCGGGGCAATCTCAGTGAGACCTTCTGGAGCAGGGGACCAGACAAGCCCCATCAGGGAGCGAGGGAACAAGGCTGTGGGACCCCGCAGAGGGCCCACTTTCTCTACACCCCTGCTGAGTCTGTAAGGGGAGATGTCCTTGTGCACAGCAAACCTCATCTTCCCGGAGGCGCTGTCCCTCTCCCTGCTGTTTCCCACAGACCCTCAGTTCAGCCACTGTCCCATGCAGGGAGGCCCTGGGACCCTCAGCACAAAGATCGTGAAAGCAGATGAGAGCTTTTTGTAAAACTTAATGTAATTCATCCTTCCTTTATTGGGTACTTTTAGGACTCAGTATTCACTCTCTCCTTCAACAGATAATGACTGAGCACCCACTATGTGCCAGGCACTGTTCTAGGTGCGGGGAACAAAACAGGCAAAAAAGCCTTGTCCCCCTGAAGCTCCTCTGTATGTTATAGAAAGTGTGGGAAACTCCGTGAAGTAAAGAGGAAACAAATCGCCAGCAGGGACAGGCCCTCTGCAGTTGCCCCCTTCATCTGGTGTATTTGTAGGATTGCTTTATGCTTTTTAAAACAGCACAGTTGTGATCACACTACACAGTCAGTGTTGTACCCGGCTCTTCGTAAATAACTGCTTTAGGGACCCGCGTCACCTCCTGTGGGATGGATGGACCACATTTAGTCAACCAGCCCCCCGTTGTGGATTTTAGGTTGTTGGCCCATTATTTGCTATAATAAGTGATAGTGTGATGAATGTCTCCTTGTGCGTGAACTTGTTTCTCTCCTTGTTTGGTCATTAGGTTAGATTCTGGAAGAGAAGTTCTCGGGTTCAAGGGCTCTGGATATTTTCAAGAGTTTTACCCATGATTTTACAGAAGAGGCAAATCAGTTTACCTCCCACCCCCAGCAGTATATCAGAATGGGCACACAGTTCTTCCCGGAGCACTCATAGGCCTTTGGATCTTGACAGCAACCCTGCTGGTGTTGATGAGCAGACCAAATTCCAGAGAGGGGTTGGGGCTTGTCTGACCTCCACGGGGGCAAGCTGGCAGGGGGCCGAGCACGTGCCTTCCAGAGGAATGCTGATTCTCCTTTTTTCCCCCACAGCCGGTGGATCCCTCCTCTGTTGCCTTGGTGACCCTTGGGTCCTCAAAGGAGATGCTGTTTGAAGGAGGTCCCAAACCCTGGGTCCTCGAGCCTTCCAAGTTCTTCCGGAACATCACCTCCGAGGACACAGACAGCATCAGCCTGGCTCTCTTTGGGCCCTCTACCTCCCGGAATTACCAGCAACATTGGATCCTCGTGACCTGCCAGGCCTTGGGCGAGCAGGTGAGAGGGCCGTCACCCCTAGACCCATCTTGTCCAGAGGAAGGGGTGTAAAGTCCCATTCCCTGAGTACCCTGCTGTGCTTACAGCACCATTTCACAGACAGGCAAGCTGAGGATCAGTGAGGTGGCATGACTGAGTGGATAGGCAGTTTGATCGGGGTGCAGCACTTGGGGACCTACAGGACAGCTTTGCTAGAGCTAGCACCCTTTCCACTGCTGGGGTGACCTCTTCTCTCTCTGGGCTTCATCATTGCCCACCACCAAATGGGGGATGGGATGAGACCGGGGGAGGGGTCACAGTCAGAGGTCTCCAGGGTCAGGCAGATAGCATTAGTGAGCAAGATTTCAGCCCAGGTTTGGCAGATCTTTTTGGTGTTTCAAGATAAGCCAGGAATCCCAATATTTTTTTATGTGAAATCCCTCAATTTTTGTTTTTTTGCCATGCCGAAAACCAAAGAAATTCAGAGACTGGGTGGACCAACACAACATGTCTGTGACCTGAACTCTCGTGGGGCTAGCATGGGCTGGAGAAAGCAGCAGCTCACCCAGCAGGCCCCCTGTGGCTGCCACTCCGGAGGCTCAGCGCCGAGTGCTCATTTTGCTGATAGTAGGGATCTAGCCCACCATTCACAGGATGCCCCGGAGCCGGGAAACAAAAAGCAAGGTGGGAGGCCAGGGGGGATCAAGAAAGATAGGAGAGAGCCCATGTCTTTAGGGAAGGGGAGAATGCCCTTACACGTGCAGTGGGGCAAAGAACGTCAGCTGACGTCAAAACACACATGTGCACATCACCCGAGGTACCCTTGTGAAGTGTGCCACACCCAGACTGCCTTGGTGTGAGCGGGAAAGACGCACATGAAAGCCCCTGATTCCCACTGGCTTTGGCTTAAAAAAAAAAAAAAAGTTAATAAGAAAATACTTTTTTTTTAAATTAAGAAAAATGAATAAGAGAATAAAGTGTCTCCCCCCTGGCTTGGCTTGGTCATCCGTGTCCCTGCTGGGCCGTAGGAGTTGGCCCTCTGAGCAGAGGCACCTCTGGGATCCTCCCACTCCATGCCCTGTGCCTCACTTCCTTGGGGTCATTGCGGTAGAGGCCGAGGGCCTGCAGGTCAGCGTGGAAACCACCCTTTGTCCTGCCTTGTGGTCAGGGAGGGTGAGGGGCTCTAAGACCCGACCACTGGGTCCTACAGAAGCGTGAGTCATTTGAGGGGTCTGGGGTGCTTCCTTGGGATGGGTCATTAGCTGGGTGCTCACAAAACTCAGGCCTGGGCTTGATTTCTGAGGTCTCAGCTCTAAAAGCAGACTTAAATTTCCCTCTTTTGTTGCATCTTTAATCATGGCCTCTGCAGCAGCCAAGTGAACTTCTCTCAAAGAGAAGGAGGGCATACAGGCTGAGGCCCCCACACATCCATCTGCCATGCACGCCTCTGTCCATCAGCACACACCCTCCCACACCTGCACCTCATTGTAAGGGATCTTCCAAGTCCGTGTGGGCTCCTCATTTGAAAACCCACAGGCTTGGGAATTCGCTCCTACAACTGTGGGGTCCTCGGGGGGTCCCGGGAAGCCGTGAGGCATCACTGCAGTGGTTTGGCCAGCATTTGTAAAGGACACTAGAGCCCCTGTCTGAAGGCCTCTTGCGTGTTGAGAGAGCACTCCCCCCCACATAGGTCACTGCGCCCTTGTAAGCCCCTGGTGGTGCAGGTCTCAGCTGCCCATTCTACAGAGCAGCAAACTGAGTCCGAGGATGCTGGGTGGTGAGGCCAGGCTCACAGTGGAGCAGGCACTCAGACTCGGACTGCTCCTCTGCTCGGCCAGGTCATCGCCCTCTCGGTGGGGAACAAGCCCAGCGTCACCAACCCCTTCCCCGCGCTGGAGCCTGCCGTGGTGAAGTTCGTCTGCGCCCCACCCTCCAGGCTCACCCTGACCCCCGTCTATGCCAGCCCCCAGCTCGACCTGTCGTGTCCGCTGCTGCAGCAGAACAAGCAGGTGGTAAGTGAGCAGTTCTCAGGGAGGGCGGCGGGTCAGCGCTGCTCTCTTGCCTCCATGCTCAGCAGCCCCCGCTGAGGGCCTGCTCCTGGTCAGCTTTTACATATCGGGGGGCTGAAGGCCCAGAGAGGCGAGGGGCTCACCTGGAGTCACAGTTGCTCGTGGCAGTGCCAGGTGGAGGTAGGGCGCCTCTGGTCCCAGGCTCGGCCCCCTCTCTGTGTGGCACTTGGCAGTTGGTAAAATCTCATTAACTTCTGTGACTTGGGGACCTTGAGGTGGGGCTGTGGCCTGTGGGCAGTGTGTGTGTGGTCAGAGTGAGGGCTGCTAAAGAGGGGTGACCAGCTGCAGCATTCTCCGTGAGTGAGGGGAACGTAGGGGGGCTGTGTTTCAAACATAAGCATGGGAGGGGGAAGAAAGTCACTTGGGGGTTGCTCTGACAAGCAGGGATGGAAGGTAAATCCCACAGGTCTGGTCCCCTTGGGCTTACGGCTGGTCTAGCCCCCCAGCCAGGACCCCCAGAGGCCAGATGACAGATGTAGAGGACTTCAAAGCCCTCCTGTTCAGGGTCAGGGATACCAACACCCTCCCAGCCAGCCCATCCCCCAGTCCCTTCTCAGAGGTGGAGACTGGGCAAGCTGCTTTTCCCTCATTCCTTCAACATGTATTTGTCCAGCACCTTCTGTGTGCTGGGCGCAGAGTTCTGGGTTCGAGAATACAGAGTACTCAGGACAGGTGAGGCACCTGGAGGGGACAGGAGACCAGGAGGCCCACGGATAGTAGACAAGAAGGGCAGAAGGTGGGAAGGGCTGTGGAGTGAGGGAGGTAGTGCAGGACACCTACCAGTGAGGCCACTTCAGATGGAGCCATGAAAGGCCTCTGTCGGGCGGACACCTACCATGTCAGGCCCCGTGGTCACGGCTAAAAAGAGCTGCAGTAAGGGTGTCCCGAGCAGGTAGAGTGGCAAGTGCAAAGGCCCTGAGGCTAGCCTAGGGTCTCTGCGTGCCTGCTGCCCACATGGTAATCAGAACGGTTGTATGTGCCAGGAGCTCTCACTGTATGCCTCGTTCCCCATCACCCGGACCATCTGGAAGGCCAGGCTTGTTGCATCCCCTTCATGGGTTTGCTCACGAGGCCTGGAGGTAGGCAGGATCCTGGAGGCAGAACCTAGATCTGCCCAGCTCCAAGTTTTCAGTGCCTCCTCTGTGGCCCCTGCGGCTGCTTCTCTCCTCCCAGCCCCGGCCTTATGATCAGCCCCAAGGCGTGTCCCGCTGCCCTCTGCCCTGCTGGCTCCTGAGGGGCCCTGTGTCTCCTGGAGCCACCTCTAGGGATAGGACACTCTTAGCTCTTTGCTGTTTGCCCTGAGAGGACTCAGCACCCATAACAGAAGCTTTCTGAAGCTATTTATGTAGGCAGCCTCTCCCACCAGAGCAGAGAGATTTGGAGTTTGGCTCCCCTTTGGGTGAAGAACAGCTTTGTGTCTGGTCAAAATACATTTCTTTGAAGCTCTGTGGGGGGTCCCAGACTCCAGTGTCTAGGACTTGGGCACAATTCTGTCTGTCTGGTGTGTGACTCTCTGCCTCTCGGCCTCTACGTCCCCTGCAAGTTTAGTTAACTTGTCTTCCTCCTGTCCTGGTGGGCTTCTGCCTTCTCTCAGGCTTTCCGGATTGCTCAGCTCTGAGGTACGTGGCCATAGGAGCCCCTCTGCTGCCAGCAGTGCTGGTCCCTTTAAGAGTCACTGCCTCGACAGCATCCAGCACAAAGTGAGGGTTCTTTGTGCCCAGCCTTGGTGCACTCTCCCACCACCCGCCACGGCAGCCAAGGTGTACCTCCCTGTTTCCTCTCGACAAGTGAGGAGAGCCGGCTCTGAGCCTAGAGCTCCTCCGGGGGCTTGTCACCATGAAGCCGTGTTCACCCCTAGCTCCGGCCCGGCTGTTGGTGGCAGGGAGCAGGTGGCTGTCATTCCCAAGCTGAAAATCTGTGTGTTCAGGACCTAATTCTTCTCCCTGATTTTGGGGGCTCTTGAGATGAAAATCCTGAAAGCTTCACATTTTAAATCACTTTCATGTATTTAGCACATTATCCCTAAAGAATATAGTCATGCTATGTCTGGACTCTTCTGGACAACCTGGCCTGTTGGTCCACTGGGTGTGAGGCCAGGAGTCAGACAGCAGCTGACATCAATAGGGACTGATGGCTGGCTCTGAATTCCTCCTTGAATGACCTGGGTGACAGCGGTCTCCTAGGATTATAGGGGACAAACGTGAGTAGACCGAAGGTGTTCAGAATGGTAAATGTTACACTTCTTACCTTATTCTCTGCTTAGACCTGGCCAGCAGCTTCTCATTCCCCCAGAGCAAAAGTCAATCCCCTTCTGTGACCTGCAGTCCCTGAGTCCTGGGCCCAGTTAATCTCCCCCCACCTGCTCCACCCATGCTGGGATGCCCCGTCATGCTGTGAGCACCCTGGAACGTGCCCTGTATGCATCCCCAACTTGCTGTTCCCTCTGGCTTGACTTCTCTCCTCTCCTGCGCCCCCAGGATTCCCTCCCTGCCTCCCTGCCTCCTTCACCTCTTGAGGGTACTTTATTCAAATGTTACCCCTTGGAAGGGTGTCCTCAGTCTTTACACCTTACTGAAAGTTCTTCCCTTCCCTCAACATTTCTGGTTCCCTTCTCTCCCTGCCCCTGAGCTCTTAACATCATCCAATGCTGTAGAATTTACGTGTTTATTTCCTTCTTTGCGAGTCTCTAGAAAAGAGCCCTCCTCGTGGTAGGAGGTCAGTAAGGTGATGGACAAATGAGGGCGCAGGGTGCTCGTTCCTGTGTCTTCTGCCCCTGACTCTTTTTTTTTTTTTTAAGATTTTATCATTTATTTTGACAGAGAGGAGAGAGAAAGTGTGTGTGAGCGCATAAGCAGGGGGAGTGGGAGAGGGAGAGGCAGGCTCCCCTGCTGAGCAGGGAGCCCGATGCGGGGCTCCATCCCAAGACCCTGGGATCATGACCTGAGCCGAAGGCAGATGCTTAATGACTGAGCCACCCAGGCGCCCCTCTGCCCCTGACTCTTGAAGGCCCAAATGCCCGGAGAAGCCAAGTGGGGTGCTGCTGAAGGAAGGGGGCTGGCGGTAGGGGAACCAGGGGGTACTGACCTGGAGAGCAGGTGACCCTCTACAGGACAGCCTGCCCCTCTCAGTTCCAGCCCCTTCAAGCCCAGGCTGGCCAAACTTTCTTATTTTCAAAGGAAAAAAAACAGGCAGATCGATGGGCATCTTGTCTTCACACGCTGGGCACTTGCCAAGTGAGCTGTATCTGGCCGTCTGTTGGCTGTGACCTCTGGGTCAGCGCAGAGTTGTCTCTCTTGACTGAAAGATGACCGGCAGAGGAGCATGGCTCTGAATGGACTTGTGCGTGTCATAGATCTCACTCGCCAGGAAATAATGGACCTCAGACACAGAATCGCTGGGCCATGCATCAGGCCTGGAGTTTCGGAGCTGTGAGTCGCTCGGGCATGGCCCCTGTGATTTATGATCTCACTAGGGGACCTTGAGAAAGATATATCCCTGCCATGCATCCTGGGTGTAGTATCAATTTAATTTTATACCTCTCCAAAGCCAGAAGCCACCCAAGATGTGTTTGCAGAGTAAATTATGGGTGAGGCCAGACACCAGAATGGAGCTGACCAGTCAGAGTGACAAAGTGGAACCTGATTCCGGCCTGACCCCAGTCCTCGGCTCGGGTTGTCCTGTGTTCAGCTCACTGCGGCTGAGCACCCGTTGCGTACCGGGAGACTGATTAGTCAGGGCTTGCGTGGAGCCCCCGCCCGACTGGTGCATCGGGGAGAGGCCACACAGTCAGGGGAGGCTGCACACTCATAGGGGAGGGCCTGTAGGCTTTAAAATTAGACCGGCAGAGTTCCCAAAACCTGTGTGACCTTGGGCAAGTTGCTGAATGTCTCTGAGTCTCGACCTTCCTGTTTGTAAAATGGGGATAATATTGTTGCCCCAAATGCCTGTTGGAAAGATCCAAGCATGCTTGGCACAGGGTGTTAATGTCCTTCCCTGGGAGCACAGGGGGAGGGAAGGGCATTAGTTTTCCACCCAGGTTGCTTCTAGAGGAAGCATCTAGAAAATGCCACTTCTTGTCCCTGCGCAGAGTCAACAGCTCCTGGCTCGAATCCAGAATTGTTACAAGATCCTTTGCATCTCCAGGGGATTATGCTGACCTGAGTTTAAAATATGCAGCATGCTTTGGTTCAGTGTTTGGGGGCAAGACAGCTAGAAGGAGCTGGGGAAGAGCCCTCCTGGCACCCATCAGGAGTTCGGGGACAGCCTCAGTCTGGATAGGTGAGGCTAGGCTGCAATAACAAGCACCCCCAGATCCCAGTGCCTTCCCACAGCACAGTTCACTTCTCCCTCGTGCCACATGTGCATCATGGTGGTGGGGGACCAGGCTTCGTGTCACTGTTCTCTTCCTTCCGAGACACAGTTGGTGAGACAGCCACCATGTGGAACATGGCCAGAAAGAAGGAGAGCCTGGCAGGTTGCTTTGCCCTGGAGGCATTTTAAGTCAATTTCCCCTTTCACTGGTCAAAGTGAGTGACATGGTCACTCCTAACTGCAGGGGCCCAAGAAGTAGAGCCCTGGCTTCTGGACCCGTGCCTGACAGAGAACTGGACACACTGGTGACCACTGCAAGTGACTGCCCATTTCCCGACTTGCACGTTTGTTTTAGTGAGCCGGGCTCTTTAAAATGATCTCATATGACCCTTACTTAAAATGGAGTCCTGGGAGGTGGGTTCTGTTATGATGCCCACTGCACAGACGGAGGAACTAAGGCTCTGGGAGGTGGGCAGTTGCCTGGGTGGTGAGAGGTCGAGGTTTGAGTCCAGGCAGTGGAACTCAGATGTCTATGTGCTTAGGGTCCCCTGTTTTGCCCCCTTGCCATCTGGGCAGGGAGCGGAGGGGATGAACCAGTATCTGGGAGGAATGAGGCCGGCTTGGCGTGGGTTCTAAGGGGTGGATTTGCTTGGGGAGCAAGAGGTAGTGGTAGAGTGGTTGTAATTCAGGGTTTGGAACTGAACCCTGAAGGTGTACCATTCATTTCCCGAGTCGCCTTTGATTTCTTCCCTGGGACTCTGCTTCCTCACCCTTAATATGGGGATGACTCCTCCCATCTCACTGGGATATTTAAGGATCAGGTGAGAACTTGGCTCCAAGAGGAGCTTTGCAAGCTGAATGACTCTGGGACATTTTAGAGGTTGTACTTGGTGTTCCTGTTAAACCCTTGGGGGCGGGGGTCATGCTGGAGGAGCTGGGCGTCCATGGGCCAGGGAGGAGGTGGCAAGGATTTGGGAAGGTAAGGCCAGAGAGGAAGCAGAGCAGCCTGGCTAAGGTGGTGGTGGGAGGGGGGTGGGCTCTAGGGCAGGGTCTCCTGACCTTGGCACTCCTGACATTTTGGACCAGATCCTTACTTCTTGAGGGTTGTTCTGTGCATTGTGGGGTGTTAGGCGGCATCCCTGATGCTCACTACCCACTAGATGCCCATTGCAACCCTTCCCCCCCACCCCACAGTTGTGATCATCAAAAAGGCTTTCGGACATCGCCAGGATCATGCTTGGGGGAGCAAACCTTTTCCCCCTTGAGGACCACGGGCTGGATGGAGTAAAAGGCCATGTTGGACAGGGCTATGAGGCATCTTGACAGCTGGGCAGCATAGTTAGTGACTTGGCCCACCTCATCACCAGGCCCGGGGAGCCCTGAAGGCAGCCAGCCAGGTCCAGAGTGCCCGGTTCTGGGCTTGGCCAGGATGTGGGACTTTTACCTCTTGCAGGTTCCAGTCTCCAGCCACCGCAACCCCCTGCTGGACCTGGCCGCCTACGACCAGCAGGGCCGCAGATTCGACAATTTCAGCTCTCTGAGCATCCAGTGGGAGTCGACCAGGCCCTCGCTGGCCAGCATCAAGCTTGAGCTGCCCATGCAGCTGGTGGCCCAGGGCGATGGGAGCGGCCAGCGGAAGCTGCACGGTGAGCTGGGTGGGGAGCCTGATGACCCAGACCAGGAGTACAGAGTGTAGTGAGACCCAGGGGGACGGAGGGGGCACTGAGGAGGGCTGGTGGCAACTGTGGACCCCACTGGATCCCTCTTTCAGGGCTGGGCAGACAGGCTCAGGCTCAGGGCAGGGGAGTGTCACGTCCCAGCTTGCACAGATCAACCAGCCTCCGAGACCCCTGTGGCTCTGAGCCACGCGCCTTCCCAGACCCGTGGGCAGCCAGAAGTTGCGGCCAGCGCAGCTCCCCGAAGCCGCACCGTGGCACTTTGCTCAGGGTCTGGTAACTCTTACGGTGCATACAGTTGAAACAAACTCGCTTATGTATTTTTAGGACCAGAGATTTAAAACTGCAAGTCGGAAGGAGGGAGGGGCTGCTTCACAGGCGGCAAGGGGGCAAAAACCCAACATCCGTTCTCTCCCTGGACTCAGGTTTGCAGGCCATCTCGGTTCACGAGGCATCAGGGACCACAGCCATTTCCGCCACCGCCACAGGCTACCAGCAGTCCTACCTCAGCACGGCCAGGGTGGAGCAGTCGGTATCTCCCCGGGCCCCGGGCAGGGTGTCCCCCCTGCTCCTGCTCACGTCCTGCCCGCTGTCTGCGCGTCCCGAGCCCCCGAGCCCCCTCCGTTCACCAGCCCATCCCCAGTCGAGTGCCATGGGGTCACGTGAACTGGGGCGCCTTCCCGCTGGCCTCCTGCCTCCAGCACCCCCATCCCCCACGCCTGGCACTCAGGCAGCTGGTGGGATCCAACTTAAAGGCAGTCAGTCTGGCCCTGGCACCTCGTGGCCCCTGCACACAGCTTTGGGAGCCCTCGTGCTCATCTGTCCCGCCTCTTCTCCCGCACAGCCCTGACCTCACATCCCACCCAAGGATGTGCCTCAGTGGCTCGGGCCTCCGTGACTTGGCACCCAGAGTCCCCACTGCCTAGAAGGCCATCCCCCTCCTTCCCTTCACTCCTCCCCACCCGGTGGCCTCCCGCTCATTAGTCCCAGCCACAATGTCAACCTGTCTGCAGAGTGGTCCCTGAGCCCAGGCACCGAGTACCTGCCCCCCCCACCCCCCGGCATGGTATAGATGCCCCCCACATACACACTGTTGCCACCGTCTACATACACTTGGGTCAAGGCCTATTGAATCTTATCTCTCTACCCTAGCATCTCACGGCCCCCCCGCAGAAGCACTGCTTGTGGGTGGCAAGTGGGTACATATGAGGGGGGTATGAGAAGGGCTCCCCAAGAGGGGTCTTGCCTGGATGATCCCCACCCCATGGTGAGGGAGGGGCAGCAGTCAACTTGGGTTTTGTATAGGACGAAGGCAGGAGATGATGGCTGGAAGGAGAAGGTGGGCCTGGGTTCCAGGAGACCCTAAATGCCGGGATAAGGAGCTTGAAGTTGTCTCCTGGGTAGTGGGGAGCAAGGGAAGCATTTGGAGGGGGTGGGACTCCAGTGGGAGCAGCACTGAAGCTGGCCTGGGGGAAGGTGGCCCTCAAGGAGTACACCTGTATGCCCCTGGTGGCTCAAGCCCTGGGTCATCTGTCCCCACCTGCACAGGGAGTCCCTTGGCTCTGGGTGGCCTCATGGGCCTCCCCCTTCAGGGCCTTGGCACCTAGGCTCTTTGGCCTGTGGGTTTTTCTCTAGTGATACCACCCACACCTTCGCTTCCTTGGTGTCTGCTCACCTGAGAGTCCCCCCCATCCCTAACCTGCCCCTCACTGCCTTCACAACCCCCCCTAAGCTCTGACACAAGTCCTTCATTTACTTTCCCTTCTAATCCTGACCTCCAGTAAATTTGCATCATTGCTGAGGGCAGTTATGGGACCCCTGGAGGCTAGCACAGTGCTGGGCACAGGGGAGGTGCTCAAGCACGTGAGTACACAGCAGGTCCGAGCTGGGGCGGGTCCAGCAGTCTCCCTTAAGGTACACGTCGCAGCATCACGTACTCGGATACGTGCACCACCCACGGGGGCAGGGGCCGTGCTTGTTCCCTTGGGAGCCCACCATGAGGACGCCCCTCCACTCAGCGCCTTTGCTGCTTGCCCAAGCCCCGGCCCCTCACACACGGCTCTGCAGCTGGTCATCTGCTGTGTGCCCCCGCTTTCCTGGGGGGTGGTGAATCGCCTGCTTCACGGGGCCTGGCAGGTGGGGTGGGGTGCCGGCCTTGGCAGAATTACCGGATGTCTCAAAGGGATGTGGCCTCTTGTCTGGGCTTGGAGCATGATGGTTTTCCCGGGGCTGTGTCCCCAACATAACAAGTACTCTAGGGTGACGCCAGGACCTGGGGTTTCTAGTGCTGCCCTTATAGGGGTGAGGCCCGTGGGCTGGCCCAGGGTTGGCCCATTGTCTTGGATCTGATGGCACTGCCTTGCCCCTACAGTACGACCCTCTCATGCCCGTGTCGGCCTCCATAGAACTCATCCTGGTGGAAGACGTGAGGGTGAGCCCGGAGGAGGTGACCATCTACAACCACCCCAGTGTTCAGGTACAGATTCTTTTCCCTGCCACGATGCTACTTGGGCGTGGCCCACAGGGGCCCCCTCGCTTCTGACACCCAGGCTGACCCCTCCTTGCAGACCGAGTTGCACATCAGAGAAGGCTCTGGCTACTTCTTCCTCAACACCAGCACTGCAGACATCATCAAGGTGGTCTACCAGGAGGCCAGGGGCGTGGCCATGGTGAGTGCGGGCCCTGTCCCTACGCTCCTTGCAATTCCTCATCCAGTGGCCTTAGGTTTAACAGAGTGGTTATTTCCAAAGTAGGCACTTAATCACATCGGATGCAATTAGCAAGGTCTTTAGAGTCTGCGATTCATCGTTTGTGAAACTTTCATCGCTTGTGAGCTACCTTTGTGACTTTCATTCCACGTCTACAAACTACCCACACCGTTAGTTATTAACTAGTGGTTTCATGTCTGTCAATCTTTTAATTAAAACATGATTATATAAGTAGCACTATAACAATGATAAGGAAGATTGCTTTTGAAAGGTATATTGGCTTTTTCTGTTCTTCCATATTCCTTTCTTGACCCTCTCCCTATTCTGGCAAATACTGACTCAGCTGTGCCCACAGTATGGAAGAATTTAGCATTCTGTGTTTGTCAGGGGTTGCACCCTAAGTTTTTTCCCCCATGTTGCTATGTAGGCTGGCTGATTTTTAAAAAATAGATTTTTTAAAGATTTATTTATGTATTTTAGAGAGAGAGAGAGCGGAGGAGAGGGGCAGAGGAAGAGGGAGAGAGAATCCCAAGCAGACTCCATGCCGAGCCTGGAGCCCGATGCAGGGCTCGATCCCACAACCCCGAGATCATGACCTGAGCTGAAACCAAAAGTCAGACGCCTAACCGAATGTGCCACTCAGGTGCCCCTAGGCTGGCTGATTATTTTTATGTAGTCGTTTGTACTTAGCCATTCTCTCTTTGTAGAACATTTGAGTTGTTTAAATCTTTTTGTTTTTTAAAAATAGCCCCATAGAAATCCAAATCAAAACCTCAATGAGATACCACCTCACACCAGTCAGAATGGCTAAAACGAACAAGTCAGGAAACGACAGATGTTGGCGGGGATGTGGAGAAAGGGGAACCCTCCTACACTGTTGGTGGGAATGCAAGCTGGTGCAGCCACTCTGTGTGTTGTTAGAGGCAGCATGAGGGTTGCTAGAAGTCTGAGATCATAGGAAATGGTCCCCAGAGCATTTTTGTTCCCTTTATAAAAGAAAGAATAATTCCCTGGCCATCCCTCCTGCCATGTAAATGAGTCTTCACTGTCACATCCTTCATATTAAAAGGAAAAGCTCAAATCATAAATAATTCTGACTGCTTGAGACATGCCTTGCTTTGCTTTACTTCTGGGGATTAAAAAAGAACTCCCCTGTTATTTTTTTTTTTTTAAAGATTTTATTTATTTGCGAGAGAGAGAATGAGAGACAGAGAGCATGAGAGGGAGGAGGGTCAGAGGGAGAAGCAGACTCCCTGCTGAGCAGGGAGCCCGATGCGGGACTCGAT